TGCTTCCTCTGCTTCCATATGCAGTCTCTGCTTCCTCTGCTTCCAAATACAGTCTCTGCTTCCAAATACAGTCTCTGCTTCCATATGCAGTCTCTGCTTCCTCTGCTTCCATATGCAGTCTCTGCTTCCTCTGCTTCCATATGCAGTCTCTGCTTCCTCTGCTTCCAAATACAGTCTCTGCTTCCAAATACAGTCTCTGCTTCCATATGCAGTCTCTGCTTCCTCTGCTTCCATATGCAGTCTCTGCTTCCTCTGCTTCCAAATACAGTCTCTGCTTCCATATGCAGTCTCTGCTTCCTCTGCTTCCATATGCAGTCTCTGCTTCCAAATACAGTCTCTGCTTCCATATGCAGTCTCTTCTTCCTTTGCTTCTATATGCAGTCTCTGCTTCCATATGCAGTCTCTGCTTCCTCTGCTTCCATATGCAGTTTCTACATATGGAAGCAGAGACTGCATATAGAAGCAGAGGAAGCAGTCTCTTCTTTGTCTGCTTCCATATGCAGCCTCTTCTTCCTCTGCTTCCATATGCACTCTCTGCTTCCATTTACAGACTCTGCTTCCTCATGCAGTCTCTTCTTCCTCTGCTTCCAAATGCAGTCTCTTCTTCCTCTGCTTCCATTTACAGTCTCTGCTTCCTCTGCTTCCATATGCAGTCTTTTCTTCCTCTGCTTCCATATGCACTCTCTGCTTCTATTTACAGTCTCTGCTTCCATATGCAGTCTCTTCTTCCTCTGCTTCCATATGCAGTTTCTGCTTCCATATGCAGTCTTTTCTTCCTCTGCTTCCATATGCAGTTTCTGCTTCCATATGCAGTCTTTTCTTCCTCTGCTTCCATATGCAGTTTCTGCTTCCATATGCAGTCTTTTCTTCCTCTGCTTCCATATGCAGTCTCTTCTTCCTCTGCTTTCAAATACAGTCTCTGCTTCCATATGCAGTCTCTTCTTCCTCTGCTTCCATTTACAGTCTCTGCTTCCTCTACTTCCATAGGCAGTCTGCTTCCTTCCATCTGTCCCAGATTGGCCAGGACAGTCCTGCATCTTGGCCCTCTGTGCTTCCAAAGCTGCCTGTGTGCAGGGCCCTGTCCCAGAATCACAGCACCATTTCTTTTGATTTTTTTGTAGTAACTCAAAAAGGCAATAACTGCGGGATTGGAGTCACGAGTGGGTGGAACCCCATATTAGGAGGTGTGGTCTGGTGGAATAAACCTGCACATTTAGAGACTGGGTCTGGGTGGGGCGAAACAGCAACGTTCCTGCACTTTAAGAGGTGGAGTCTGGATGGGGCCAACCTGCAAAGTCCCTTCACATTAAGGGCGGGGTCTGGAGTGGGACCAACCTGCAAAGTCCCTGCACCATTAAGAGGCGGGGTCTGGGTGGGGCCAACCTGCAAAGTCCTTGCACAATAAGAGGCGGGGGTCTGGGTGGGGCACCAACCTGTAAAGTCCCTGCACATTAAGAGGCGGGGGTCTGGATGGCACCAACCTGTAAAGTCCCTTCACATTAAGAGGCGGGGTCTGAATGGGGCCAACCTGTAAAGTCCCTTCACATTAAGAGGCGGGGTCTGAATGGGGCCAACCTGTAAAGTCCCTTCACATTAAGAGGCGGGGTCTGAATGGGGCCAACCTGCAAAGTCTCTTCACATTAAGAGGCGGGGTTTGAATGGGGCCAACCTATAAAGTCCCTTCACATTAAGAGGCGGGGTCTGAATGGGACCAACCTATAAAGTCCCTTCATATTAAGAGGCGGGGTCTGAGTGGGGCCAACCTATAAAGTCCCTTCACATTAAGAGGCGGGGTCTGAGTGGGGCCAACCTATAAAGTCCCTTCACATGAAGAGGCGGGGTCTGGGTGGGGCCAACCTATAAAGTCCCTTCACATGAAGAGGCGGGGTCTAGTGGGGCCAACCTGCAAAGTCCTTCACATGAAGAGGCGGGGTCTAGATGGGGCCAACCTGCAAAGTCCCTTCACATGAAGAGGCGGGGTCTGGGTGGGGCCAACCTGCAAAGTTCCTGCACATTTAGAGGTGGGGTCTAGTAGGCACCAATCTTTAAAGTGGGCGTGATTCAGGCACATCCACCCAGAAAGTGGGTGGACGAAATGTGTACTGGGGGTGGGGCTAAATGTGACCTGGAATTCAGGACCATAAGTGCGCAGTGATTGGCTGGACTGCTCCCCTCTCTCCATGCCGCTCTGTAAGGATCTCTATATCCGTCATGTGACTGTTATTTTCAGACCTCGCTGGACTCAGCTGGAAATAACTGTCACTTTTTGAAAGTAAGACTCCTTTTCCTGCCGCTTTATCGCTGAGAATTGAGCCTCGCGCTGATAATGTAGGTGAATGTATATAAATACACAACGTTTCTGCTCCGCGAGAACGGAGGGGCGGAGCCGGGCGTGTGTTGGCGATGGCGGTTGCGCTCGCCCCATCTCGCAGGAACCCTCTAATTGTTTGCAGGTTGAACAGAAGCAGCAGCTGTCCATCCGGGATTCTCCTAAATTTAGGTCTTTCAGAAATAACCTCCTGTGGGTGACACGTGTCCTGGCCGGGGGGGTCACCGGCTGCAAGAACTTCACTGACACTTTACTGTCCTCCACCGGAGCGCCCCCTGGCACACGGAATAAAGAGAACCTGTCATTACAACTGAAATATCCAAACCTAACGCTTGGGAACTCATTATTATCCACGCGGATTTGAGTATAACCCTCCCACAATGCCTTGCACACACCTCCGCGCCCAATAGAGAAGCGCGTTGGTACACGTCCCCTCCCGAGACCTATAGAGAAGCGCGTCGGTACCCGTCCCCTCCGGGACCCATAGAGAAGCGCTTCGGTACCCGTCCCCTCCGGGACCATTAGAGAAGTGCGTTGGTACCCGTCCCCTCCGAGACCTATAGAGAAGCGCGTCGGTAGCGCCCGTCCCCTCCGGACCCATAGAGAAGCGCGTCAGTACCCGTCCCCCCTCCGGGACCCATAGAGAAGCGCGTCGGTACCGTCCCCTCCGGGACCCATAGAGAAGCGCGTCGGTACCCGTCCCCTCCGGGACCCATAGAGAAGCGCGTCGTACGTACCCGTCCCCTACGGGTACCCGTCCCCTCCAAGACCCATAGAGAATCGCGTCGGTACCCGTCCCCTCCGGGACCCATAGAGAAGCGCGTCGGTACACGTCCCCTACGGGACCAATAGAGAAGTCCCCTCCGGGTGTCGGTACACGTCCCCTACGGGACCAATAGAGAATCGCGTCGGTACCCGTACCCCTACGGGACCAATAGAGAAGCGCGTCGGTACACGTCCCCTACGGGACCAATAGAGAAGCGCGTCGGTACCAGTCCCCTCCGGGACCCATAGAGAAGCGCGTCGGTACCGTCCCCTCCGGGACCCATAGAGAAGCACGTCGGTACCCGTCCCCTCCGGGACCCATAGAGAAGCGCGTCGGTACACGTCCCCTACGGGACCAATAGAGAAGCGCGTCGGTACCCAGTCCCCTCCGGGACCCATAGAGAAGCGCGTCGGTACCTGTCCCCTCTGGGACCCATAGAGAAGCGCGTCGGAACCCGTCCCTCTCCGGGACCAATAGAGAAGCGCGTCGGTACCTGTCCCCTCTCCGGGACCCATAGAGAAGCGCATCGGAACCCGTCCCCTCCGGGACCAATAGAGAAGCGCGTCGGTACCCGTCCCCTCGGGGACCCATAGAGAAGCGCGTCAGTACCTGTCCCCTCTGGGACCCATAGAGAAGCGCGTCGGAACCCGTCCCCTCCAGGACCAATAGAGAAGCGCGTCGGAACCCGTCCCCTCCAGGACCAATAGAGAAGCGCGTCGGAACCCGTCCCCTCCAGGACCAATAGAGAAGCGCGTCGGTACCCGTCCCCTCGGGGACCCATAGAGAAGCGCGTCAGTACCTGTCCCCTCTGGGACCCATAGAGAAGCGTGTCGGAACGCGTCCCCTCCGAGACCTTTACTTCCTGTCCCAGAGATGCAACAGGAAGTCTACAAAGTGAAAGGAGTTCCCCTCCTTGTACAGGTGTCCCCAAAAGCAGATTTTTCCTCAGCTCCGGGTCTGGTGACAACTCTAACATTTTGCATTTCCCTGTGACTTTTCAATGGTCACCAGGACATAGGGCGGTGAATAAAAGAACCTGACAGAGGGCCCAACTCTTCCTCATTTTATACAAAACTAAAACAGCCCTACAAATAATCTGTTTATATTCGCCTTCCCTGATTGCCCCCCCCCCGGCATCAATATGTTCATGAAATGTTTACAGAAAAAGATTTTTAATTACATTTTATATTTCAGTTTTCACTGGGTCTCTGTGCTTCTCTATGCCCCATGGCTGGTGGGAGGGGCCAACAGGGTGCTGTACATAGCTTCCTGAAAACATTACAGTTCTCCTTTCATGAGCCCCCAGTCCTGACACAAGCAGTGGGAGGAGTTATGCAAATATCAAAGCGCCTTGATGGGTGAGAGTCATTCTGGAGGAGTGGGCGTTACTAGGCCACTAGTTTGCATAGGTAACGCCCACATGTTATGCTGAGCCTATATGATTGATAGACACTGAAATCCAATGAATGAAAGGGGCGGACCCAGGGCAAGTCAGGCTAGATGACGGACAGGGACAGAAAGAGCTGGGTGTCAAACTGGTTGGGACATCCTCCAGCCAGGAAATGGGGCGGAGCTCTATCTGACTGGCTGCAGCTTCTAATGCACATTGTGAGAAGCTCCCAGTGTGCAGTGACATCAGAGGAAGACATGTCAGTTCAGGGGAGGAGCCGGTACACCTGTGCAAGACTGAAGGGGGAGGAGCCAGTAGACATGTGCAAGACTGAATGGGAGGAGCCAGACACCTGTGCAAGAATGAAGGGGAGGAGCCAGTACACCTGTGCAAGACTGAAGGGGAAGAGGAGTACACCTGTGCAAGACTGAAGGGGAAGAGGAGGTACACCTGTGCAAGACTGAAGGGGAAGAGGAGGTACACCTGTGCAAGACTGAAGGGGAGGAGCGGTACACCTGTGCAAGACTGAAGGGGAGGAGTCGGTACACCTGTGCAAGACTGAAGGGGAGGAGTCGGTACACCTGTGCAAGACTGAAGGGGAGGAGTCGGTACACCTGTGCAAGACTGAAGGGGAGGAGTCGTTACACCTGTGCAAGACTGAAGGGGAGGAGTCGGTTACACCTGTGCAAGACTGAAAGGGAGGAGTGTTACACCTGTGCAAGACTGAAGGGGAGGAGTCGTTACACCTGTGCAAGACTGAAGGGGAGGAGTTGTTACACCTGTGCAAGACTGAAGGGGAGGAGTTGTTACACCTGTGCAAGACTGAAGGGGAGGAGTTGTTACACCTGTGCAAGACTGAAGGGGAGGATCCGGTACACCTGTGCAAAACTGAAGGGGAGGATCCGGTACACCTGTGCAAAACTGAAGGGGGGTGCTGGAGGAAGGATTTCAATGATTATAAAGGAATCTATTGATCAGGTCAGAGATATCGGAGAATCCAGTTGCTCCGTCTGGGATCTGTTCAGCAAAATCCAAACTGCCTCCGCCGATCAAACACCATCCTCATTTGTTGCGCTGTTATTGATTGGCTGACCTCCGCAGTGAGTGACACCAGCACCATCATCTCTCTGCTGACATCTTTAAATCTGTCGTAGGCGGTAATAGATTGGCGGCAGAATCCATTTATTATCATTAGGAGGATGGCGGTTCAGGAAATGGGGGGGGGGGCAGTGTGCCTGCTCGCCAAGTCTGATGGATCGCTTCAAACAGATGGCACCGCGCATTTCCATCCGCCGCTGTCACAAAACATCTTAATGGCCCTGGAGAGGGAGGAGGACCTGAGGGGGAACTCTAGACTGATATCTGTATACAGGAATTGTTTTACCTGTAATTCCACTTCATCCAGGAGTAATGACCTTATTGGTGAGATGGAGGTTCCTCACTGTCCAATCAGAGAGCTGCTCTCCAGCTCGAGTGTGTAATCCTCCCTCTGGCCTCCCCTTCAGTCTTGCACAGGTGTACTGGCTCCTCCCCTCCAGTCTTATACAGGTGTACCCAGGTGTACCCGCTCCTCCCCTCCAGTTTTGTTCAGGTGTATCGGCTCCTCCCCTCTAGTCTTGCACAGGTGTATCGGCTCCTCCCCTCTAGCCCTGCACAGGTATACCGGCTCCTTCCCTCTAGTCTTGCACAGGTGTACCGGCTCCTCCCCTTCAGTCTTGCACAGGTGTACCGGCTCCTCCCCTTCAGTCTTGCATAGGTGTACCGGCTCCTCCCCTTCAGTCTTGCACAGGTGTACCGGCTCCTCCCCTTCAGTCTTGCACAGGTGTACCGGCTCCTCCCCTTCAGTCTTGCACAGGTGTATTGGCTCCTTCCCTTCAGTCTTGCACAGGTGTACCGGCTCCTCCCCTGGACTGAAATGGCTTACTCTGATGTCACCGCACACTGTGAGCTTCACAATGTGCATTAGAAGTCAGATAGCGCGTCGTCTTATTTCCAGGCTGGAGGACGTCCAACATCATTTAGTCACTTTCCTCCCCAGCCTGACTGTCCCTGGCCCCGCCTCTTTCATTGGATTTCGGTTCTTTCAATCATGGAGTCTCAACACAACATGTGGGAGTTACCTATGCAAATCCAGCCTTCTAGGAACGCCCACTCCTTCAGACAGACCACCCATGAAGGCCTCACAATATTTGCATAACTCCTCCCACTGCTTGCATTAGGACTCTTGAGAGAAGTACTGAGGCAGGGGGCAGTGATGTTTTCAGGAAGCTATGTACAGCCCCCTGCTGGTCCCTCCCATCAGCCACGATCTACCTGCATTGCATAGAGAACCACAGAGTGATTTCACTGTACTCTGAGCTTCTCACACTGTGCATTAGAAGCTGCAGCAAGAAAGAGCTCCGCCTCAATTCCTGGCTGGAGGATGTCCAGCGTCATCTAACTCTCTCCTCCCCAGCCTGACTGTCTGCAGCCCCTTTTCATTCATTGGAAATCAGTTCCTTCAATCATGAAGACTCAGCATCTCGTGTGGGTGTTCCCTAGGGGCGGTCTGCATGTAAATACAGAATGCCTAGGAATACATTCACCCATCATGGCATTTGATTTGCATAACTCCTCCCACCCTTGCATCAGGGCTCAGGGCTTTTGAGAGGAGTACTGAGGCTGGGGGCTGTGATCTTTCCACCAGCCATGATCTACATAGGACAGCATAGAGACACCCTTCCGGCCCCTCCCACCAGCCATGATTTACATAGGAACGCAAGGAGACACCCTGCTGGCCCCTCCCACCAGCCACGATTTACATAGGAAAGCACAGAGACACCCTGTCGGCCCCTCCCACCAGCCACGATTTACATAGGACAGCACAGAGACACCCTGCCGGCCCCTCCCACCAGCCACGATCTACATAGGAAAGGACAGAGACACCCTGCCGGCCCCTCCCACCAGCCACGATCTACATAGGAAAGCACAGAGACACCCTGCCGGCCCCTCCCACCAGCCACGATTTACATAGGAAAGCACAGAGACACCCTGCCGGCCCCTCCCACCAGCCACGATCTACATAGGAAAGCACAGAGACACCCTGCCGGCCCCTCCCACCAGCCACGATCTACATAGGAAAGCACAGAGACACCCTGCCGGCCCCTCCCACCAGCCACAGATTTACATAGGAAAATACAGAGACACCCTGCCGGCCCCTCCCACCAGCCACGATCTACATAGGAAAGTACAGAGACACCCACCAGCCACGATTTACATAGGTAAGAACAGAGACACCCTGCCGGTCCCTCCCACCAGCCATGATCTGCTTGCATTGCATAGAGTAGCACAGATGATGTCACTGCGTCTATAATAAGGTATTTAATGGGGGGATGGGGGGGACTAGGAAAGGCAAAGGAGAAGAGTTGGGTCACCGGGTTGTACTGTCTGGCAGGTGTGTCGGTGTCACAAAACTGGCTTGAAAAAAATGTATTTCAACGGCAAATTCAGCTTCTTGGCTGGAGACCGGCATCAATAATAGGATTGCAGGAAATGAATAGAGAAGGACGGGATTAAATATTCCAGATTTTAAAATTCGCTACACAATCAGATCACAGAGACCGGCAGCCGGGACCGTCCCTGGAAATCACAGATATTCATCTGCCATACGGAGGGGAAAAATGTCGCCTTTTTTCGTACTTTTTTTGCACTTCTCTGGATTTTCCCCACGGAACGCGCGGCGAACACGAAATCTAATTGCAGGAAAGTTGAAGACAAAGCCGCTCTCCCTGCTGGTCACTCTGAGTTATTTATTAGGAATCCTTTAAGGGCTTTTTAGAGCTGATTAGAGACTTCTTTCATCATGTGTCTGCTCCATCTTCAAACAGCCTCCCTGGAAGTCCTCCGCTCACTAAGATCTCTCCCCTACATTATTCATTCAACAGGCGAGATAAAGAGCGCTGAGCAGGGGGGAGGGGGGCTGGGGGTCCGGGGACCCCAGGAGGACTCAGTCCCCCCAGAACTCCGGACCTACATTCCACATTACACCGGAAAAGTCTGCAAAGTTCTAAAAAGGGAATAAGGCTTCACATGTATTGGAAAGAATTTTATATTCCCTTTACATTTCATGGAGATAGATAGATAGATAGATAGATAGATAGATAGATAGATAGATAGATAGATAGATAGATAGATAGATAGATAGATAGATAGATAGATAGATAGATAGATAGATAGATAGATAGATAGATAGATAGATAGATAGATAGATAGATAGATAGATAGATAGATAGATAGATAGATAGATAGATAGATAGATAATAGATAGATAGATAGATAGATAGATAGATAGATAGATAGATAGATAGATAGATAGATAGATAGATAGATAGATAGATAGATAGATAGATAGATAGATAGATAGATAGATAGATAGATAGATAGATAGATATAGATAGATAGATAGATAGATAGATAGATAGATAGATAGATAGATAGATAGATAGATAGATAGATAGATAGATAGATAGATAGATAGATAGATAGATAGATAGATAGATAGATAGATAGATAGATAGATAGATAGATAGATAGATAGATAGATAGATAGATAGATAGATAATAGATAGATAGATAGATAGATAGATAGATAGATAGATAGATAATAGATAGATAGATAGATAGATAGATAGATAGATAGATAGATAGATAGATAGATAGATAGATAGATAGATAGATAGATAGATAGATAGATAGATAGATAGATAGATAGATAGATAGATAGATAGATAGATAGATAGATAGATAGATAGATAGATAGATAGATAGATAGATAGATAGATAGATGGATAGATAGATAGATAGATAGATAGATAGATAGATAGATAGATAATAGATAGATAGATGTGTATTTGATAGCTAGATAGATAATAGATAGATAGATAGATAGATAGATAGATAGATAGATAGATAGATAGATGATAGATCAGATAGATAGATGATAGATAGATAGATGGAATGTTCGGTAGATAAGACTGAGATAGATAGAATAGAACAATAAATTAGATAGAAATAGATAGATAGATAATAGATAGATAGATAATAGATAGATAGATAGATAGATAGATAGATAGATAATAGATAGATAGATAGATAGATAGATGAGATAGATGGATAGATAGATTGATAGATTAGATAGGATAGATGGATAGATAGGTGTCTTTATACAGGTAACATAGATGAGATTAGATAGATAGATCTTAGAAGATAGTGATAGATAATAGATTGTGTTACCTGTATAGATAGATACCTGATACATAGCCATAATAGATAGATTCCAAATACCATGGCAAAGATAATAGAGCTGTAGGATAGTCATAATAGATAGATAGACCTACACAATAATGGACTGGGATAATAGATAGCCAAGCAGCTTGGTGAGAAGGTAGATAACAGTTGATAATAGATTCACAAATGGATAGATAATAGATAGATAAACAAGATGTCAGATCTCCCTAGGTCTGGTGACCATGCAAGATCTCACCTCGTGGAGTGTCAATGATAGATGAGAACAGTGAGGAATCATCCCAGAACTACACGTGAGGATCTTGTCAATGATCTCCAGGCAGCTGGGACCACAGTCACCAAGCAAACAATTGGTAACACACTACGCCGACAAGGACTGAAATCCTGCAGTCGCCCCTCCCGCACGGTCCCTCTGCTCAAGAAAGCACATGTCCAGCCCGACTGAAGTCTGCCACTGAACATCTGAATGATGCGAGGAACAAATGGTGGGATCTGTGTTGTGGTCAGAGGATTTGATCCCCTAAAATCCAGCTTTTTGGCATCAACTCAGGTGTCTTCATGGAGGAGGAATGCTGCCTAGACCCAAGAAACACCATCCCAACTCTTAAAGGGATGGTGTGGAAACATTCTGCTTTGTTTTTTTCTGCTAAGGGGACAGGACAACTGTCGCATCAAAGGGACGATGGACGGGGCAATGTACCATCAAATCTTGGGTGAGAACCTTTTCCCTCAGCCAGGGCATTGACCAAATGGGCTGTGGATGGGTGTTCCAGCATGACAATGACCCAAAACACACGGCCAAGGCAACAAAGGAGCGGCTCAAGAAGAAGCAGCATTAAGGTCCTGGAGTGGCTTACCCAGTCTCCACACCTTCATCCGATTGAAAATCTGTGGAGGAGCTGAAAGTTCGAGTTCCAAATGTCAGCCACAAAACTTAATGACTTGTCAGATCTGCCTAGAGGAGTGGGCACCATGCAAATCACCTCCTGAGATGTGTGCGAACCTGGGGGCCAACTACAGGAAATCATCTGACTACTGTGATGATCTTGTCAATGAAGGGATTGGGCCACCAAGTACTAAGTCATGTTTTGTGAAGGAGATCAAATTTCTTTCACCTCATGAACATGCTGAGATCCTGTCATCATTTGTTAGCACGGTCCCTGCTGAATCAAGTTGTTGTACATGTCTCTCAGTGTTCTGAAATTCTGCCACTGAACGATCATTTCTGTGTGAGGGGCGAACATTCCATTGTTAGACCGAAGTGTTGTGGTCAGAGGAGACCAAAATCACCATCAGCTCTTTGGCATCAACTCACACTCGCCGTGATTGGAGATAGAGGAATAATGCTATCTATCTATCTATCTAATTATCTACCTATGACCCCAAGAACACCATCCCAACTGTGAAACATGGTGGTGGAAACATTCTGCTTTGGGGACAGGGCAACTGCACCGCATCAAATCTATGGACGGGGCTATGTACCATCAAATCTTATTGAGAACCTTCTTATCTATCTGTTATCTATATCTATCTATCTGAAATCTGGGTGGTGGATGGGTGTATCTATCTATCTATCTATCTATCTATCTATCTATTATCTATCTATCATTATCCAAGGCAT